TTATTTGTATGAGTTTTGTGTGTGTGTCTCTCCACACACATTTACAATACAGGTAGAGGAAATTACTGTCTCTAGAACGAATGGTAAAAATGCTGGCAACTTTAAAACTACCCACAGACATTCTTGGGTACATCCAGGTTGTTATCCGCGAAGTAAAAAGCCATGAACCTCGGGTGCCTACTGTATAAATTACTTTTCTTTCAGAGAAGATGTACTGCCAAGATTACACCTTGCCACCACACAATTATATTTACATACAGACACTGAAGTCTCTTGTTACAAATTTAATCTTTGTCCTTCTCCCTAAGAAATTTTTGGGGGTGGGGCTACACTAGATTATGCTGGTTTTTTTGTGTGTGTTTATTCCACACTTTGCCATCATTTAATATTTTTTTTATGTGTTGTACTAGATGTGTTCTGCTGAGGTATTGCCCTTCCACCACAAGGTCCCCAAAGATCAGTTTGGTTTACCCCTGTTGCTAAACACACCATTCTATCACTCATCATTTGATGCTTTTTGTCACTAGTCAGTCATTCAAGCTATTGCTGCTACTAAATGTCCATCCCCTTTCTATCTCTCTATCTCCTTGATCTTCCCCCCCCCCCTCCTCCTATTATTAAATTATGAAATAATAACCCTTTATCTATCTCACTTCCCACCCTCAGTACAAGTGTCTTGTTTGTTTTTTTTTTTGTTTTTTTTGCAGTCTTTTCATCCCACATCTTGCACTCAAGAACACCCTTTCTTTCACCTCTCACTTGTTCCCCCCTTGTGTTCCAAGAGTGTATGCTTTGCACTCCTCTAATAGTGTAGGCTTAATTATTATCCTATATCATTTTATCCTTGATTTGATAAGATATTCCCTCTCCATACATTTCTCTCTCTCTCTCTCTCTCTCTCTCTCTCTCTCTCTCTCTCTCTCTCTCTCTCTCTCTCTCTTTCTCTCTCTCTCTCTTTCTCTTCCTTCCTTCCTTCCTTCCTTCCTTCCTTCCTTCCTTCCTTCCTTCCTTCCTTCCTTCCTTCCTTCCTTCCTTTACTATGAGGCAATTTATCACACATTATTTCATTTGCTGACACCAACTCCTGAAAAAAAAATAACACTTCCACTCCATATTAATCAAGCTAAATTTCATTTTCCTGTTTCCCCTCACATTTTTTATTCATGTTCACTGTTGACATACCCCATTCCCCTGTTCTGTGGGCTGTGATGAAATCACATTATTGTCTATGTTCATTGGGGCTCAGGATCTTGTGGATAAGGGTGCTTCATATCAAAGGGTTGTGGGTTCTGCAATTCCTGGACTTCAGAGATTTGAGACTGGAGTTTGGTGTTCAGTGTTTCAACTTAAACTTGAAGGATTCACTATAAAATGATTATTGAGGGTAAATACTGTATTGAATTGTAACCTAAATTTCCTATTGGTTCCCGCTATGTGGAACTTCAGCTGATTGGTTGCTCATGTCCCAGAATGTGGTATAAAAAGACGGGGAAGAGAAGAGCAGGGGAGAACTGATGGCTGAAGGAACACCAATTTCACCAGGAGTGTGAGCAGTCGTCACCAGCCCCACCACACACCGTGCAGTCACCACTCTAGCCCACCGTACACCACAACTGCTACTAGCATCAAGGAGCTGTACAGAACTTCTTAACACCACACCACAAAGGATATCGACTGTCTATGAGGAAGTATGTACTGAGGGTAATACATGACTGGATTGTGAGACAATGGTGATATCTGCAGTGTTATATTGGTTAGCAGATGATGATGTACATGAGAAAGTGTGGACTGATGGTGGATTGTGAGACAATGGTGATGTCTGCAGTGTTATAGTGGTTAGCAGATGACACTGTTTCTGAGGACGAGTGGACTAATGGTGACTCCATGACAGTGAATTGTAAGATGATGGTAATGTCTGCAGATGGTAGTGAAGTTATGGTGATACGTTGTCATTTGTTTTAAGCTGTGAAGATTACTGCAGCATTTTATATTAAATTGTTTTGTTAAAATTATATGGAAAGTTGCTTGTCTAATTTTCCCTGGGTCTTAAATTCAATGCATGAGAACAGTTTCAAGTTTCATATAATAACAAAGAAATCAAAATCTAGGGGTTCCTTAAAGGAATATCGTCACAATTGTGGTGCCTGAACATGGACTTAATGACTGGTTTCATGTCAATTGTATGACCCAGGAAATTAGCAAGGGATGATGTCTTGTAATTTTGATACGTGGGTAAAGGGGGCTCAGTTCCTGGGTCTGGAAGAGGAGAATGTGAAACGAGCTCGGGAGAGGGAAGACGGCAGTAGAGATACGCATGGAAATATCAAGAGGAAACAAAGCAACTTGAACTGAAATTAGAATTAAAGAGATTGAATGTCCAACATTGTGAATCAGTTGTGGCATCTGTGATTTTTCAGCCACCAAAAATTCTGACATACAATGAAGAACTTGATCAAATGGATGTATACATGTGTCAGTTCGAGAGAGTTGCAGTGGATGCTAAGTGAGGTAAGGATTCATGGCCCATCATGATTCCTCACATCACTGCTTGAAGTTTATAACCAACTACTCCCTGATTAGTCCAGTAAATATGATTTACTAAAGCAGGCTTTGTTGAAGACATGAATTTGTGTGAAGGTTTTTAATCTGGATTTAGAAGTGGGCAATTCAGAAAAGATGACTGCTCTACAGTTTGCAAATAAGATTAACTCTTCAACCCAGATGACGTACTTGAACTATTTGCCTAGGCAACCCTGGATGACATGCCTGAACGTTTGCCAAGGCAACCCCGGGTGACGCTCTTGAACATTTGCCTAGGCGACCCTGGGTGACGTTCCTGATTGTACTTAATTTTCATGGCATGTTTTGAATGTCCAGGCCGGGGGGGAATACTTTGTATGGGATATTTGTGTAATTGGCAACTCAACTCGCATGTATTTGTCTCAAGACTCGTGCCTCATGGTCAGTTACTCTGGGAGATGCACGTCCTTAGACCTCTTTTATAACCCACCTCATTCCTCCACACCCAAGCACAAGTGAAGGCATTTGCTTGACAGTAGTGCTGTTAGTCAAGAGTTGCTGTGCTTGATTTGCGTGGCATTGATATAGTATTGGGTGACAAAGACATTGATCTGGAGGAACAGAACCCAGATGATGTCAAGTTTGCTGAGGCAGTGAGGATTGTGTTAGGCCTACAAACTAGTATTCCTTCCCCACTCTGCCAGCCATTGTGAACCATGGCGCAAAGATATGGCGACTTGGTGCAAGGAGTGTGGAGTCAACTCATGCGTTCCATGTTACAAAGACCTCCACTCGATCAAGAAGTTCCAGTTGAAATCATTCATTCAATGCCAAATTTACTCATATCATGAAGAGCAGCAACAACATGTCAAGATGCAGCAAGGGAGTCCACTCTCCGGTCCCTGCCCCTCTGCTGCCGAACCTGGCCATTCACCAATCGGAGCACAGCTCGCCTCCCACACATAAGCGGTGTTTAAGCCATTTCATACTTCTCCTAAAATTCACTTCCATCCTGTCTTTATCCCCCCGGTCATTAGCCTTTATTCATTCATCCGTAGTTGAAAATAGTGATAAGTTTTGTGCTGCCTAAATATTCCTACTGTTCAATATTTTATAGTTCTGTTAAGGAAAATTGGATTATTTTGTGTTTTGTAATACTGCAGCTATACGATAGAAATATGATATAAAAGGACCTTTCAATTAAGAACTGTGTTGCAAGTGCATGTTAAATTCACTTCCTGCTCACTGTGGGTTGTGCCCAGTAGCTTCAAACATGACATCTTTCATCACCCCACACTGCTCATCAACACTCCAGACAACTCTCCAACCATGTGACAATGAAAGTTGAATGTGAGTGCATTCTTCTGGTATTTTTCTTATATTGATTAACCCATTTATAAGGGAACTAATATATATCTCGTACCCCACACTAATATATATATATATATATATATATATATATATATATATATATATATATATATATATATATATATATATATATATATATATATATATATATATATATATATATATATATATATATATATATATATATATATATATATATATATATATATATATATATATATATATATATATATATATATATATATATATATATATATATATATATATATATATATATATATATAACACACAGTTGTATCCCGCTTAACGCGGTTTCACTTAACGCGATTTCTCATATACGCGGTGCCTCGCCAGAACCAAACATTCACTTAACACGGTTCATCTACTCATATACGCGGGAAGCGGCGCGGGCACGATGCGCACAAGGTCTCCCAGTCATCAAAACATTACCGAGTTCTTCACCCGCTACCCACCACAGCCAGCCCAAGTCAGTGATAGTGATAATTATAGTGAGGATATGGACTTATATGGACTTTGAGGGGTTTGACAAAGAGGCCCTGCAAGCCTCTGTGGTGGATAGTGATACAATTGATACAAGTGATACAGGTGAGGGCCAATAATCTGCCCTGTGCCTCGGAACCAACCCCCCATCCCCGTGTGCCCAGCCATCTTTTCTACGAATGTAAGTGTTAAAAAACCTAATATTATTGATATTTCTCTTAATTATTAATTGTGTGTGCATACCATCATAAAGTTAAGATGTTATTTTTACTACAACATAGTTGTGTGTCGTCAAAAAGTGGAGTTTGGGGGTCGGGCCAGTCTCTATTGGAATTAATCCCATATGTTCTGTTGTTCACTTAACGCGGTACCCTGTGGGTTCAATTGACCGCGTTAAGCGGGGTACAACTGTATATATACACACACAGGTTGACTATAAAAAATCCGGCAACCTCAGGACCTGAGGAGTGCCGGATTTTCGAAAATGCCAGAAAACTGATGGTTATATTTGCTGTATAAGTTTAACAGAAAATTACTACCTGTACAGTCCTTTAAACAAAGAAAATTAAACACTAAATGAAAAGCAAATGAAATTTTATTATATATGCTGTATACAGTATATTTAACAGAAAATTACTACCTGTACAGTCCTTTAAAAAAATAGAAAATTAAACACTAAATGAAAATCAAATGAAATTTTAATGTTTATCAGGCTAAACAGCAGATGGGCTGTCAGGATTATCATCTTTATCACTGACAGTGACAACATCCTCAGCAACAGGAACAGCTTCAACTTGTCTTGAAGTTGATGGCAGTAGATTATCAAGTGTGGACACCGCTGTTGCTTCTTCCTGCTTCCTAGCTATTTTCTTGAATATATCGGGCAATGTCTGTTGTTTCATATACTTGGGTCTTTCTCTAATAAGTTTATCTTGGAGCAAGAAAACATTCATGATTTCTTGTTCACTTACAAAACTTCGTTGCTCTAGTCCAGCCAGCAGTTCAGTTGTCAACGCAATTAACGTGTCAATAGAGATTCTGTCTCTCACATCTTCCTCATTTTCTTCACTGCTTTCATCTTCATCACTACCTGTACAGGCATTTCTCTCCGGACTTTTAACCATATCTACAATTTCAGAATCAGTGTAATGATGAACCGTAGGCACATTATCATCAACATCCAACCATTCTGTTAAAACATCTTCATTTATCCTTGATGAAAGCTCCTTGGCATCAGGATTAGTTACATCTTTAACATAAGCAAGAAGTTCATGTATAAGGTGCTTTTCTTTGGAAACCCTAAACCCTGCAAAATCATTTTCTGTGTCTTCGTTAGAATGAGAAGTAAACATTAAACTTGGCCACAATTTATGCCATCCATTTTTCAGTGTTGATGTTTTAATAGACGTCCAAGCATTAGCAACACAGTACACTGCATCCTTAATGTTGAACTCTTTTATGAATTTCTGTGCTGGGGTACCTGAATTAACTGAACTCACTAGGCGCCTCATTAACAGGGATCGATACTTACACTTCATAGAAAGTATGATACCATTGTCCTGTGGTTGAATTAGTGATGTGCAGTTGGGTGGGAGGTAGGCAACAAAAACATTATCTTTCACTAGAAGATCGGCTTTTGGATGTGCCGAACAATTGTCTAAAATAAGAAGTATCATGCATTTAGGGTCTAGTCCAACTGAGTTACAGTGAGCCCTGGCCTCAGGAACAAAACATTTATGAAACCAATCCAATGTAATATCAGTGGTAACCCACCCCTTTGTAGGGGTATCGAGATATTAATGTTGTCTAGCACTCAGGATGGAAGGAAACTCTAATGTGGTTTTCTTGTATAATATATAAGTTATATGATAGACAGTCTGGTGCTGGAGGTGGTTGTGGTGAGGCGCTGCTCTGTAGAGACGTTCGGTGAGTAGCGTGTTGAAGGAGGTAGATGTGCAGGAGCTTTGTTAGAGAAGATGTTGCCTGTTGCTGGCCTCCTGGTTGAATGAATGCTGGATAGCTAGGAGCTTGCTGGAGGAGGTGTTGCGTGTTCAGGAAGATGGGCCAGAATGAGAGTTGGTTGGTGAGGAAGCTCAGAGAAGGACATGCTCGCTGGCGGGAGCGAGGACCGCCAGGCAGGCGAGGAGAAGACAGGGGCCGCCAGGCAGGCGAGGAGAAGCGAGGGGCCGCCAGGCAGCGGCGGAGGAGGAGGTGTTGCTTGTTCAGGAAGAATGGTCAGAATGAATCTCAATGGAGAGACAGAGCTTATATACCCAGCAGCCGCTATGAGTCATGTTGGGAAAACCCAGAAAGTCGCCGGTGAATAGTTTCGTTGCTAGGCAACGGCACGTCGGAATGCGTGGAGGTGCCGTGTGGTGGCAGTGGCTACGCAGTTGTAGGCAGTTGTAGGGGAGACGTCCACTACACCTTCTTGTTGGCACGGTAATGGACAGGAAACCGTGTCATACCCTTAAAGACCCTCGGATGTAAACTTTTTCCGATAACAAGCAACTTACATCTATGGGTACCCGCAGCATTAGAGCAGCACATTACCGTGACGCGATCATTCGAAGCTTTAAACCCCGTTGGCGATTCTGCATCCTCAGTTGTCAGAGTTCTTTTTGGCGTACATCTCCAAAATAAGGCAGTCTCGTCAGCATTGTACACTTGTTCAGGACTTAAATGTTCATCACTAACTAACTTTGCAAATTCATCCACATAGGCACTAGCTGCATCCTTGTCTGCTGAACGTTTTTCACCACATACTGCACGAAAATGTAAGCCACGTCGCGACTTGAAACGTTGCAGCCAACCTTCTGTATAGTCACACTTGTGTTGCAATCCCAGCTCTTCATGAAACACTTTGGCTTGTTCCTATAATAAATCACCAGAAATTTCCACACCTTCACTTACACGAAGTTTAAAACAGGTTATGAGAACTTGGTCTAGTTCCTCACTTTTTCCCTCCGACATTGACTTCCTTACAAACATTTTCCTTTTTGATCCACGTCAGAAAAGAACTTTAACAGTTTTTCTTTCTGTTTTTTAATATCATACACTGTTGAAGAGCCGATGCTGTATGTTTCACAAATGGTTCGCACAGACACGCCGCTATCAAGTTTTTTAAGCACTTCCACTTTCTCTGCGATCGACAACGCACGATGTTTACGTTTTACGCCACCGCTTTTCTTTGCTGAATCCACGATGGGGCTATACAGCAGCAATTAAATGATAAAATCAGAAGGAATGAGCATGAATGCTTGTTAGCAGGTGCAAGCAAGACCCAACAGCTGATTCTGGAGTACAGCGCTATCAGAACATAAACGGCGCGTCCAGAAAACAATGGTGCGCCAAGGCAAGAAATTTGTAAATGCGCTCCGAAATCCATGCCGGAAAACTGAAGGTTCCGGTTTATCGATTGCCGAATTTTTGATGATCAATATATATATATATATATATATATATATATATATATATATATATATATATATATATATATATATATATATATATATATATATATATATATATATATATATATATATATATATATATACAGTGGCCCCTCGGTTAACGAACTCAATCCGTTCCAGAAGGTCGTTCGTTAACCGAAACGTTCGTTAACCGAAACCATTGTTTCAATGGGTTTTTGGGTAATTGGTTCCAGCTCACCGAAAATTTCCTAACTTCAACAAAAATGGCGGAAAAATTTACTTACTTTGAGGTGTGTATGTAGAAGGCTCCTGGATGATGGTGATGATGTGCATTTGAAGTGGGAGGTGCAGGAGGAGAAGGGAGAAGAGAAGGAAGTGGAGGTGGAGGAGAAGCATTTTACTGCTTCTTGGAAGGTGAGTCACCTTCCATGAAAATGTCAGGAACCTCTGGACTGACAGATTCTCCACCATGAACATCCTCTCTCTTTCTTGAAGTGGAAGGCTGAGGGCTAGCATCTTGTTCCCTCTGCCTTTTACTGAAGAAAGTGTCAATTGTGGTCTGTGGGGCATCTGTCCTCCTCACCATTAACTTATGTTTAAAGAAGGAGACCACTGAGTCCTCAACATGACACAAAGTTAGTTCAGTTTTTCCACTTCTGGGTGCTTTGAAGCCAGTTCCCTGAACTTCTCCCAGTGGTAAATCACATCTTTCAACTGTTTAGCTGACATATGGTCATCACTTTCAATTTCCTCCTCACCACTGTCAGCCTCTACCCGTAACATCTCATCCAGTTCCTTCAAGTCATTAGGAGTAAGTTCCTCCTCATGAGACATCACAAGCTCTTCCACATCCTTCTCCGCCACTTCAAGACCCAATGACTGACCAATGGACACAATCTCCTGGTCCAACTCTGTGTCATCCTCAAATCCCTCAAAATCATGGACTACTGATGGCCACAGTGCTTTCCATGAAGAATTGAGGGTTCTATTGGAGACTTCTTGCCATGATGACACAATCAATTTTACAGCCTCCAGGACGTTGAATTGTGTCTTCCAGAACTGTTTCAGTGTTAGTTCAGGATCAATGGAAGTTGCCTGATGACACCTCCTAAACATTTTCTTCATGTACAATTTCTTGAAGTTGCTGATCACATTCTGGTCCATTGGCTGTATGAGTGATGTAGTGTTTGGAGGCAAAAACAACACTTTCACAAAGTCAAATTTATACTCCAAATTTCTGGCAAGGTCAGGGTCATGACCAGGAGCATTATCCATGAGGAGAAGAGCCTTTAAAGGAAGTTTATTGGTGGTTAGGTAGCTCTTGACAGAGGGGCAAAACACATCAATAGCCCATTCATTAAAGAACTGTCTTGTCACCCATGCCTTACGGTTGGACTTCCAATAAACTCCAAGCATTGTTCTTACCACTTTCTGTTGCTTGAACACCCTGGGGTTTTCAGAGTGGTAGACAAACATAGGCTTCAGTCGGAAATCCCCTGAAGCATTGGCACCAAGCAATAGAGTGAGACGGTCTTTCATGGGTTTATGCCCAGGTAAAGAGGCTTCATCCTTGGTGATGAATGTTCTTTTGGGCATCTTTTTCCAGAACAGCCCAGTTTCGTCAACATTGAACACTTGCTGTGGAAGATAATTTTCTTCTTCCATCAGTTTTTTAAATTCAATTAAAAACTTTGCTGCCCCTTCTTTATCAGCACTAGCAGCTTCACCATGCCTAACAACACTAAAAATGTCACTTCTTTTCTTAAATTTTTCGAACCAGCCTTTGCTAGCCCGAAAATCTTCAAATTCTGTTCCTGAAGAACTAGGTTGATCTGTCTTTAAATGTTCATAAATCTCCCTGGCTCTTTCACAAATGAAATCACCAGAAACTGAATCACCTTTCATCTGTTTTTCCCTAATCCAGATGATAAGTAACCTCAGGATCTGCACCAAGACACTCTTGTGGAATTTGTCTCTCACGTTCACTTATGCATTGTCTTTTGTGCAAGAATTGTCGACACAGTTGATACCATTTATGTACCATATTCTTTACATGGCGCATTTTGATTTAATACCTTGTTAAGTGTTTTTTATTATTTTCTTTCATTTGGTTCAAATCACTTTTCTTGATCTCTTAGGCCCCATGCTGGATTCAAACAATGGCAGCTGCGTGTTTTCAAAAGTTAAACTAGCTGTAAATAAAGAATATTTTTCTTTAAAATAACACTGCACTGCTATATATTGTCTAATATGTAAATAATTTTCAAAATGACCAATAATTTGCTTGAAACACAGAAGAAAAAAGCGTTTAGTTGAGAAGAGTCTCCAAGCAGATGTTACCTCCAGTGAAAACAGAGAAGACTGGCGCCTGTTTGCTGTGTTAGAGAGCTGGATGCAGCGCCATTAAACTAGTCACTTTACCTTCAATTTTGTTCAATAATTGTTAAAATGACTAAAAAAATTGAATATAAACTTTTAAAATAATTGAATAATAAACTTCTTGATATTTACAAAAATAATTAAGGATTTAAGCCCTAGAACCGATTAATGTATTGGGACTGATACTAAAGCTGGTTGCCCGGTCAGTGCAAGCTTAAAAACATGTTGAGGTCGGTTCAAGAAGTTCGTTTTAAATTTTTTTGTTAAACGAATTGAAGATCCTATGGAAAGCAGTTCGTTAATCGAATTACGCACGAGGTGTTTTGAAATCTATGTATATATATATATATATATATATATATATATATATATATATATATATATATATATATATATATATATATATATATATATATATATATATATATATATATATATATATACATACACAGTGGGTATGCTATAAATCTAATCGATCCAACTACTAATATTCCTATAAATCTAATCGTTTTACCTATAAAATTGAGAATGAATCTAATCTAAAACTCATACAACTTAACATTATTTATTTATTTATTTATTTTATTTTTTTTTACTAATTTATTGTTTTTTATTACAAGTATTAATGATACTCATTATTTCAGGGTTTAGATGCATATTTATGCACTTTTCAATTTTACAATTTTATATTATATTTTTCAGTGTTAAGTGGTTGTATTTGGGGGCCTGGAACTGATTAACTTATATCTAATCTAATGCTATAATCTAACAAGGTTCTAGAACCAATTAGATTCGTTATAGCATACCCCACTGTATATATATATAATATATATATATAATATAATATATAATATATATATATAATATATATATAATATATATATATAATATATATAATATATATATATATATATATATATATATATATATATATATATATATATATATATATATATATATATATATATATATATATATATATATATATATATATATATATATATATATTTTAGTGTGGGGTACGAGATGTTGGTTCACACTCAGGATGGGATTGAGAAAGGAAACTCACAATGTGCTCTCTGTATGCATATTGTATTGGATGTACAGTGCAGCTTGGTGCTGGGAAGTGGCAGCGTGGTTACAAGCGTGATGTAGAGAGAGCTGGTTGGTGAGGATGCTCAGAGGAGGACCAGCTTGTGGATCGCCATGCTCGCCGGCAGGAGCGAGGGCCGCCAGGCAGGAGCGGAGAGGGTGGTGTTGCTTGCTGGTTGGTGTAAGTAGAATGAGAGGTAGGTCACCACGAGGTCAGGTCTTATATAGCGGAGGTAGGCGTGGTTCAATAGTTGACCTCCGTCATGTAAGGCGGCGCTGGTTGACCTAGACCACGAGGCATACACTGGGGAATTCGTGGGGTCGGCTAGTCGGCAACAAACAGCGTTTGTAGGGAAGGAATCCACTACAATACTCCCCCTTCCCTGCAGGCGGTGTAGGAGACTTGTCTGCAGGGTTGCATGGCACATGTGAGGCAGAACGGGCAGTGCATGCCACATGTGAGACAACGGTGAGGGCGTGGATGAGCTGGCCGCTAGGGAAGACAACTGTCTAGACACACGAGATCTGTGGGAGAAGAGAGGGAGAAAAAGGGTGTGTGGGGGCAATGAATGTTGTGCTTCTGTAGCTGCAGGGGCAGCGTCCTCATGGTCACTGGCTGGGATGACAGGGTCAGGGGCGACGTCAGGAGGAGGGTCTATGATAGGAGCAGGTTCTACAACAGCAGCAGGGTCCACGATAGCAGCAGGGAGTGCCTGAGGGAAAAAAAAACGGTGTGTGGGGGCAATGAATGCTGTGCTTCCCTCTCGGCAGGTACAGAGTCCTCAGATGCGCCTGCTGGGGTTGGTAGGACGTGGTGCTTGGGGCAGGAAGAGGAGCTGGTGTCTGCTTAGAGAAGCAGTGCTGCTCTAGGGTGTCTAACCTGCGGTGTAGAGACAGTAGCTGTAGAGCCGATAAGAGCTGCCTCTGTGTGGATAAGCCAGTCTTCCATGTTGCTTGATGACTGGGAGAGTGATTGGTTTCTCCTCCATCTTGTGTCAGTGCGAATCTCCGGGGGTCACCATTTGTGGGCTACGAGATGTTTCTCCTCCATCCTGTGTGAGTGCGAATCTCCGGGGGTCACCATTTGTGGGGTACGAGATGTTGGTTCATACTCAGGATGGGGTGGAGAAAGGAAACTCACAATGTGCTCTCTGTATACATGTATTGGATGTACAGTGCAACTTGGTGCTGGGAAGTGGCAGCGTGGTTACAAGCATGATGTAGAGAGAGCTGGTTGGTGAGGATGCTCAGAGGAGGACCAGCTTGTGGGTTGCCATGCTCGCCGGCGGGAGCGAGGGCTGCCAGGCAGGAGCGGAGGAGTTGGTGTTGCTTCCTGGTTGGTGTAAGTAGAATGAGAGGTAAGTCACCACGAGGTCAGGTCTTATATAGCGGAGGTAGGCGTGGCTTAATAGTTGACCTCCGTCATGTAAGGCGGCGCTGGTTGACCTAGACCACGAGGCAGTCCCTAGGGAATTCGCGGGGTCGGCTACTCGGCGACAAACAGCGTTTGTAGGGGAGGAATCCACTACACTAGATTATCGACTTTTGGGGAAATTTACCTAATTTTCTGAAGTAGATTATCATAGAAAATGGGAAATATCTTCTTTCTGGGAAAGTTGGTTATCTACTTACCATAGAAAATGGGAAATTTGTATCATAGAAAATAGGAAATATCTACTTTCTGGGAAAGTTAGTTATCTACTTTCCCGAAAAGTAGATTATCTACTTTTCGGGAAAGTAGATTATCGACTTCGGGGAATTAGATTATCGACTTTTTGGGGAAATATTACATAATTTTCTGAACTAGATTATCATAGAAAACGGGAAATTTGTATCACAGAAAATGGGAAATATCTACTTTCTGGGAAAGTTGGTTATCTGCTTATCATAGAAAACGGGAAATCTGTATCATAGAAAATGGGAAATATCTACTTTCCGGGAAAGTTGGTTATCTACTTTCCCAAAAAGTAGATTATCTACTTTTTGGGAAAGTAGATTATCGACTTTTCGGAGAAGTAGATTATCGACTTTTTGGGGAAATATTACATCATTTTCTGAACTAATTAGATTATCATAGAAAACGGGAAATTTGTATCACAGAAAATGGGAAATATCTACTTTCTGGGAAAGTTGGTTATCTGCTTATCATAGAAAACGGGAAGTCTGTATCATAGAAAATGGGAAATATCTACTTTCCGGGAAAGTTGGTTATCTACTTTCCCAAAAAGTAGATTATCTACTTTTTGGGAAAGTAGATTATCGACTTTTCGGAGAAGTAGATTATCGACTTTTTGGGGAAATATTACATCATTTTCTGAACTAGATTATCATAGAAAACGGGAAATTTGTATCACAGAAAATGGGAAATATCTACTTTCTGGGAAAGTTGGTTATCTGCTTATCATAGAAAACGGGAAGTCTGTATCATAGAAAATGGGAAATATCTACTTTCCGGGAAAGTTGGTTATCTACTTTCCCAAAAAGTAGATTATCTACTTTTTGGGAAAGTAGATTATCGACTTTTCGGAGAAGTAGATTATCGACTTTTTGGGGAAATATTACATAATTTTCTGAACTAGATTATCATAGAAAACGGGAAATTTGTATCACAGAAAATGGGAAATATCTACTTTCTGGGAATCTGCTTATCATAGAAAACGGGAAGTCTGTATCATAGAAAATGGGAAATATCTACTTTCTCTCCTAGGAGTAGATTTAGAAGTAGATGATTTCGGAGAAGTAGATTATCGACTTTTTGGGGAATATTACATAATTTTCGATTATCATAGAAACGGAAATTTGTATCACAAAATGGGAAATATCTACTTTCTGGGAAAGTTGGTTATCTGCTTATCATAGAAAACGGGAAAATCCGTATCATAGAAAATGGGAAATATCTACTTTCCGAAAGTTGGTTATCTACTTTCCCAAAAGTAGATTATCTACTTTTTGGGAAAGTAGATTGTCGACTTTTTCGGAGAAGTAGATTATCGATTTTGGGAAATATTACATCATTTTCTGAACTAGATTATCACAAAATCGAGAAAATGAAAGAAAATGTAATATCTACTTTAGATTATTTGGGGAAATATTACAAAATTTTCAGAAAATTATGTAATATTTCCCAAAATGATAATCTACTTCCCCAAAAAGTCGATAATCTACTTTCCCGAAAAGTAGATAATCTACTTTCCCAGAAAGTAGATATTTCCCATTTTCTATGATACAGATTTTCCGTTTTCTATGATAAGTAGATAACCAACTTTCCCAGAAAGTAGATATTTCCCATTTTCTATGATACAGATTTTTTTTCTTGATAAGTAGATAACCAACTTTCCCAGAAAGTAGATATTTCCCATTTTCTGTGATATAAAGTTCTCATTTTCTATGATAATTCTACTTCGGAAAATTAGGTATATTACCCCAAAAGTCAATAATCTACATCCCCGTAGTCGATAATCTACTTAACTGAAAAGTAGATTGTGGGGTTCAAGATGTTTGGTTCTCACTCAGGATAGAATGGAGAAATGAAACTCACAATGTGCTCTCTATATACATGTTGTATTGGATGTACAATGCAGCTTGGTGCTGGGAAGGCAGCATGGTTACAAGCGTGATGTAGAGAGAGCTGGTTGGTGAGGACGCTCAGAGGACAGCTTGTGGGTCGCCATGCTTGCCGGTGGGAGAGAGGACCGCCAGGCAGGCGGAGGAGGAGCGAGGGCTGCCAGGCAGCGGCGGAGGTGGTGGTGTGGTGTTGCTGGCTGGTTGGTGTAGGTAGAAAGAGACAGGTCACCACGAGGTCAGGTCTTAAATAGCAGGGGGTAGGCGTGGGCTAGTAGACCCCGCTCTGTGATGCATGGCGGCGCTGGTTGACCTAGACCAAGAGGCACACACACTGGAATTCGTGGGGTCGGCTTACAAACAGCGTTTGTAGGGGAGAAATCCACTTCAGGATAATCTACTTTTCGGTAAAGTAGATAACCAACTTTCCCGGAAAGTAGATATTTCCTATGATACAAATTTCCCGTTTTCTTTAATAAGTAGACAACCAACTTACCCAGAAAGTAGATATTTTCCATTTCCTCCGATACAAATTTTCCATTTTCTATGATAATCTACTTCAGAAAATTATGTAAATTTCCCAAAAAAGTCGATAATCTACTATCCCTAAAAGTCGATAATCTACTTTCCCCAGTAGATAATCTACTTTTTGAGAAAGTAGATAACCTACTTTCTCAGAAAGTAGATATTTCCTATGATAAGTAGATATCCAACTTTCCCAGTAGATATTTCCCATGAATAAACTGTTGAACTCTGGTAGCAAATTCACGCTTTTGGAGGACGCATTTATATTTATTTTTACCAATAATAAGTTATACCAAGACATTTATTTTTTTTCAGTAATATATAAAATTAAAATTTTAAAGATGAGAATCGTGAAGTTACATAGTAAGAAGCAGAGGCGGGAAAACAACTTCATTTTTCCCCGCATCTGCTAACATCCGTGTAATATTTCAATGCTCTTCAGATCTTTTAAAATTTTAGTTTTTGCATAATATAGTATTACTGATAAGTAATTTGTCTTAGTATACCTTATTGTGGGAGTATACATATTAAATGCATCCTCCAAGTGTGAATTTGCTACCAGAGTTTAACAGTTAATTCATGTATAAGCTTTCTGATGAACTTCCTACGTGCTCATGTTTGAAATTATGAATGTATGTATCTTCATAATTTAGCTAAATATCTTTTTCATCAGAAATGTTCATCCCAAAGATGAATAAACTTATTTAGAAATTCATTACTTCAGGACAAAATCAAACAAATTTGAAACAGCCAATCAGGTGTAACTCTTGAGGAAGGGGCAGGGCATCTTTTCTCAGCTGAGAAAAAACGTACTATAGAAGGATGTATAATTTACTTGGACCATAATATCTATGAAAGACTGTACAAAATCTTCAGAACCAGTGATAATTTTATTTCCAACTCTAAAAAGATCAACACGACCACACAAAACATAACAAAGCAACTCTGGTACTTTAAGTGTAACATTTATATATCCAAACAAATATATTCATTGTTTCCTAAGTCCACTTTCTCCATTTGAAGTAACATGTTCCATAATTCTTCTTTCATCCAGCATTGCATTTACATTAAGGTTTTTACAATTAGCAAGTCATGTTCTAAAAGAAATCATTGTAGTCTGACTTGTATTATCAAATGACAAATGTAGTCTACTGTCAACAACACATACTTCATGAGGATATACAGCATCATTCACCATGACACCTAAATATGCTTTATGTACAATTACTACTATAGTATTATTGAAGAATCTTCATATCACAATACACTATAATATATTATCACTTATACTAAAGTAAAGAGTATTTGTACAGAAAATTTATAAAACCATCAAAATACAATTTACATACAGCAACCTTGAAACCAACTTCAAAATTACTAGACTATCTTGTGAAATGCAAATTCAGACATAAAAACATTCAAGTAAAATAATTAGTTATTTTAATTTTGATGGGTGATTTTTGAGTCCTGCATATCCAATGATTGGGTTAGATGTTCCACTAAGAACTTTCACTCAAAAGTTATAAATAGTAAATGGAAAACATACTGTATACCATAATCTCAATGCTTCTATCATCACCAAACACACCAAATACTTCTAATAAAAGTCCTCTTTATCTACATGATAATTTATAACTACAAACATTCTACAGCAAGAAAATATATATTTTATAATACTGTATTTAAAAGAACAGTTAACCTTTCAATAATAACTAAACAATGCAGAGGGAACGCAAAACCAGTATAAAACTTGGATCATTGTTTTCATAAATGAAATAAACTTATTAAACCAATCTGAATTTACAACTTATATTTTAGAATACCCGGTAGTACAGTAAAATTCAAGGAGTAATCCACATTAGGGTGGTTCATAATTTAAGTCCCCCAACTTGTAAAGGCTTAAATGGTCTGTAGTAACAACAATAGTGCAGACATCAGTTACGCACCAGTCATTTGAATATAATTAATCCTTAAAATCATCCACCACTCTTTCTCTCCTGAAGCTTCTTGTGATATTATTTTCTACAACCTTCCACTGCTAAGTTTCATTGATATGCTGCTTACCTGACCCCAAGACAAACACAACATCCTCTCATACAAAGCTGATCCTTTCAATTAACTTTTCAGTCCCCAATAATGATATTCTTCTGGGTATTTTAGACTACTATTTCTCACAACCTGACTGCTTTAAAATAAATTAAAATACACCGTAAGCCACAAGATAGAACTATCATACAAATCTTGCCCTAAGTTCACAGCCTCTATCCTATGTATACTGTGCCAATACCTTTCATCCATGCACAACTTTAAATACTACAGATATTGCACATTTTTTCTGTGTTCATGTCTGCTTACATAATTACTACCTACCTTACACTTGTATTCCATCACAATCTTCCAAATATATTTAAACTTTTATTTGCTTTCATATGATTGAACCAACCTAATGCTCCCTCAAGTCGAATATTGTAGCTGCTCAGTCAGTCAAGTGAGGCATTAACCTGCACACTATTTCTTCTCCATTCAATCTTAACTTTCAAACAATACATGTATTATCATAAATATCTTAACTGTCACTGCATTTCCTCATTTGTATATCCTCACTTTATTCCACTGTCATTCTAACAAATACTCCAAACATTTTAATACACAACTATATCAAGTAACATTACTCTCATTACATAGTTAAAGTTGATGGCCTGAGTAAACCTATTAATTCCTTTCCTGAATGTTTAAAAAAATATAATTTTAGATTTATACAAGACTTACAATAATATTATTTTTTTTTTTAATTTAGAAGCATTCATTGGGTCTTAAATCAAGTAGAAGTACAGTACAGCATAACTTTGTAACAGACTGTATGACATTAACATAACCTTCACCTGTATAACTGTTACTTTGGCAACTGTTACCCAGGACATATTGTGCAGGTCATTTATACATTTTTATTATGTACTGTACTTCGTTTTTCTCACAAGAAGCAATGTACAAAAGAGTCATGGTATCTGCATTCTTAATTTTTACCAAATTTGAATTCAGTACGAGGAACTAAAAAATTAAAGTATATTACTGTATACTGTATAGTATTTCAACAAACAAAATGGCTTATGAGTAAGACTTAAGTGGAAACATTCAACATATTTTAATATAATTGTAATGGACTTCAAATCACTCAATTTTTTTTATCAATTATGCAGAGTATAAGTGTGTAAATAAACAACAGTGTTACTGCAATAAAGTTTGGAATTAAACCAGATTAATCAATTAATTTGTTTGCCTCTACTCCTGGCACACACACACTGCTGTGTCCTTCACCAATGTGGAAACAGGACAAGTCTTCACTGAAGTGTGGATGTAAACATGATGAAAAAGCTGAGGCTGGTGGAATACTTCTCTATTTTATAGAGTTAAGCTAAATGTAACTAATGTTATATTTACAAATTAAATGTACCTACCCTATATCTTCACAACATACAAATCATGCTGATATTTTTGGCAGTATATGTCAGTGGAACACCTAACCCAAGACAGATCATTAGTACAACACAGTGCTCTTTTGTGAAACACCACACATAAAATAAGATCAATTTGCATGTAACACCTCACACTGTGTTGTTTCATAATGCTGTATGAAGAGATATAATCAAATAGTACAACTAAACCGTGATGCCAAGGTGTTGCGATAAAATAAAGTGCAGTACTATTCTGGATGGTAGGCTGGTTGGGGTTCCCTAATACTGATGCTAAGTGCATGATTATTGTAATGCTATGGCTGGAATCACCAGTTTAAACTGGAGTACACGTTACCTATTAAATTATCTATATTCATGCCAACTAAAACTTCCTACATCTTTAGCACTGAGCAATACTGATGTTTAAATTACAGGTTTAATATCCATGACTTAGTAATTATAGTGTATTTAAATATTTAAAGTAAAGTAGAGGAACAAAAGTTAAACCTCAGGTTCTAAATACTGAAATTAGACTTGAGAACCCAGTTGCTCATGCACACAAACTTTTTATTTATAATTTACAATATGGCTAACAACAGGTCATATCAGTCAACTTCCATCCTTTCTATTCATTAAGTAATATTTCAGAATTTGTCCTGAGGATAAGTTTAATCAGCTATGTTATGGATTGCTCATACAGTAACTACCTGGATTTTACCTGTTGAAAGGTAGCTAAGTAAATGGAGAAAAATAAATCATTCAGAGAATGAAATAATTTCTCTTCCTGTCCCTCCCCTCCCACTGCTCAGTAATATACTGGAACACTACCATACCAAAGTATGAATTATATTTGACCTCGGATGTATGATATCAAGTAAAAGATTAGTCATCACTACTATAACTAGTATGAGGTAACTACCACCACCATTTTACACAACCGCACCCCTTCTAACTAATTTGCAATCAATTTTATACTCGCCGTCATGCATCGAAGATCTAGACTAGTGTCTGATCCAAATCAAAAAAATAAGAAAAGATACAATCTTAACAAGCCAGCTTGTAACCTTCAGGATTTTATAAAAATAGCCCATAAATTATTTGTTAACAATAAACCTTGGTCTGAAAGATCTTTGTCTGACAAACAATTATGATCAATCACCTCATGTTAACTGACCCACTGCAATAGACAACACTGAAATTGCCATTCTATCACCCCATAGAAAACTCATTAACTTCTATGTACAAATTTGAACCAACAACATGACATCTTGTTTTTCCACAAAAAAACATACCTGCCAAACTATGAAAAATCTTCATCAACAAAAGGTCAAACCTTAATACTGTCCACGTCTTACTGATGTTTTTGGTATAGAGTACAATAAAAGCAAAGAATTATTAAGTGATTAATACAACTGAATTAAGTAACCTTGGGAAAATGGATGTGTGAGGAGACGTATGTAATAATATTCTAATCAGGCTAAGAAAAAACAATGGGAAACAAAGAATTGGAAGAGTCGAGCTATTCTGTAGAGAAAATAAAATTTTGGAAGATATTACACATGGAGTGTCAAAAGGATATTAAAGTACAATGAAGCAGAAATAATGCTGATCAGAAGACCAGTACAGTACCTCTGATTTGAAGCCAAATCAAACAAATTTTTTAAAGGAAATTTACACTTTGTCTTCCAAATCTATTAGGCACAGCTGTATACAATAACCAGAGTAAAACATAATATATTGTTTAACAAATCTATGAAATATGCAACAATTGGTCTACTAAATGTTTGAAAGAAACAGTCTTGAACAGGAACAGATATAGGAGTACTAAATGAAAATCAAATTAACAGATTTATAATGCAACTCACTTCCATGCAATTAATCGATTCTTCCACTCTCTAACCAAAACTTGCAAATGAATTCTTTATTCTTGTCACAATTTCTTCATTTCATTGATCAAACAAACTGTGACTGTTCGACTTCAATGTGATAGTTATGATAATAAAGTGTTATACTGTACAATACTTCTTTATCAGATGCTCTGACCACTGTGGCTAAGCCTTCAAAACTTTGTATTCTATTCACAGAGGAATTCACTTGGCCCTTCATTTAATGTAATAAAAAGCATAATACTGTTCAGATATATAGGACTCATGGATAGCAGGACAGACCATAATTTTTGTAGATGGAAGGAGTTATGCATCATGTCAGGCTCATATATTATGATAAAAAAAATTCTTGGAATGTAATAGAACGTACATTACCGATGATGGCAACTACAGTAAAATCAAGCTACACCTGTTACTGAACAACACAACATTTTAAGATGACCGGGAAAAGGAATGCTTGTTTCCATACAGAACTTGAAATCATATAGGTGTGAACACGGTCCTAGAGTCTGGTCTATTATCCTGTGGGGAGACGCAATCTAAAACTTAAGGCAACATCATACTTTCATAGTGTAATTGTGGCATTATATACAGACATTATTTCTATCAGGATGAAATTAAAGTATTATAAAAAATAAAATTGTAAGTACCGTACTTTATCAGAGTTTGTAAGAAGAAACTATGATTAAAATATATTCATGATGTACTGTAACTGTATTAAAATCAGCTACATGTTAATACACCAGGTTTAAAATATGAAATAAAATACACTGATAAATAATTAAGTTATTTCACAGGATAACTTGGTGAAGGAGAACAGGAATGTAACAACTGGTAAGAAAAAGTAAATGGTGGGCATGTAGATGGTATACAGCTTTACCTTGGCTTTTCTGAGAACGAATTTATAAATAAAGAAAAATTAAGACCAGCAACTGCGATAACTCATGGACAAAGAGGTAAAATATATAAAACATGCAAAATACAACCAATGTACAGTAATTCAAAAAGGTATGTCCACACTCTGTGAAACATTATAAGACAGAGGATGATAGATATTGGGACGTGCATTTACTTTGGTATATACAGTACAGTAGTTTAACGTAAGTAATGCAATGTGCATTTATTTCAGCATAATTAATATGATGTTTGGTTACCAAATGTAGTAGGATCAGTATGCCACAGAGCCACACATACCAACCCTCCCAGGACATCAAAGAGCTGCATGTAACAATTTGGAAGTCATCAGACCAATCCTGGCAGTTTTTTTTTCTTTTCAAGATACTATACAATCTAGATGTACTGTAGCCTGGTGGGATAAGATAAAATTTAATAAAAAAATCAATTACTGTATAAACAAAATTGCACTACTGTACTGTATAATGCAGTATTTGAAAGAATTATCAATGCCATTAACGTAGGAAATAAAAGATATGGAGGAATAAGATGTCAATGACCTGTTGGTAATAAATTTTGCTAAGTACCTGTGGAGTCTTTTTTTTTCCCCTTTTGAACCGAAGAAAATTTTAAATCTTAGTTTATGAGGAGTGATCATAATTTTTTCATCTAGCATGGTATAATTTGCAACAGTAGTCATTCTGAATCTGAAACATCCACATATGCAGAAGAAATTCCTTTGGACATTGTTCTCTCAATATGATGAAGTAGGATTCACAATCACTCATTTTGCAATTATCAAAGGCAACAATAAAGGACAGGGCAGAGAGAGGTATTTTTTTTTTACCTATAGTAACAAACAACTGATGCATTCAAAGGATAAGAGAGGTACGTACTGTATTGGTCACATTCAGAGGAAAGCTATTTAAGCATGTATCAAAACAATGCCAGTGTGAGCAATTGCTGACTCCTGAGTTTCCTTCACCCACAATATCCTTTACACTAATACACCACAGTACTGTACCAGAGTCCCATTTACTAACCTTAAGCTCACACTGACATAACTTTGATGCCACTTGTCTTAACCACTTCACGAACCTCTGGTGGTGATCTCCACTTCAAAACGTTTTGAGAGTTTGGGGACAACATTGTAACTTTTGTATATAAATATCTTTAGCCAATATAATGTTTCTACTTCAATTACTTTCCTATAGATACTGGAATACCTTGTAATATGTTTATGTCACCTCATCACCACTTTCCTTGATGTAGTTCACCACTGGTTCTCCGTCTCTAAAAGTGAAAGATGATGCTACTGTATATTAATTTGGATTTCATATAAAACCATTCAATAAAGCAGTAATAAAAATTAGAAAAAGATACACAATAAAACTTCCTTTTATGATGTACAAAAATAACACAGGCCAATACACACAAAACTTACTCTAAATATACTGTACTAGCAATGAATGCAAATGACATTTAATTACAAAGATTATCAACAATTTGCTATTTATGAAATTTATTAATATTCACACACAAACATGCATATGTATTCCTGCATGTATGTACATCTCTACATGCATGTGTGCGTAAATGTTAATGGGCATGCCCATAGGCATGAAAATCATAAAACAGGTATGCCAAATTTTTAAAGTTGTGCTTATTGAAGTACCATAGCTTTTGGAGAATTACTTTGTTCACATTGGTTCCATCTTCAATATGCCAGAGACTGATGCTAGAGGAAGTTTATCTATATATCTGTACAGTAAAGTACAGTATTTAGATTTAAAGTAAAAAATGGTTTTTTTAGTTTTCTACATTTATTGTATCATTTTCTGCTTCCTGTGACTGCAGACTGTGGTGTGATATTAGTTTCTTAATAAATTTTGATGAGGATGAGGCAAAGGAGGAGGAAGAGAGACAGAGGAAGCTGTAAAAATGAGAGAAAACAACACTCTCACCATATAATATTTCCGAACCTTCGGGAAACTTCAGAGGTTCTACACACACACACACACACACAACCCATCACTTACTCTTGTACAGTACTTTACAATAGCACTTTATCAGAAAAAGAAGAATGAAGAAAATCATGAAACCCTGCCACCATGATGGGGATTCTGCTAAGGTACCTCGAGACACTGTGGAAAGTAGTACAGCCAATAATAGGATAACATTTCAGTATAAATAAAAGAACAGAATTACATCTTAGAAAAAGCAAAAATAATGAAAGAATAAATAAATGGTGAAATGGGAACATGCAAAAAGTACAATGCTTCACTCAACTGCTTCTTACCGCAGCAAAACAAAAAACACATACACAATGCCACCCTCCCACACAGAAGGCCTAACAGCCTCCAAAAATAAAATAATCTCACCTAGTTGCCATCAGAATTTAACAATACCCTACCAGCACACATTAAGACAATGATTTGGTGTATGACATCATCACCCTTAAAATCTACAAGATTACAGCCTTGAGAAACTGAAATACCCTCTCTGGATTACTGATTTTGGGGGGATTTCCAAGATAAATTAAATATAAATATACAGGTTGTACCTCTCTAGTCCGGCAACCTCGGACCATGGAAATTGCCGGACCATGGAAATTCACCCTTTTCCTGGATAGATAATGACTTGTGTTTATGCCTGGAAGCACTAGCACCACTTTCTCTATGTCTCTTTGAAGACATATTGAAGGGTTAAATGTGATAGTAGCTTTCTAAATTATAGTTTTTAATTCTTAACGATTTTTATTGGAACACAAAAATAAATAAATAAAAATTTTGACGGCGGAAACTTGAATTTCGACGGGAGTTTGAACGCCCGCCAACGCAGACGACGGGCATAATCGTAAACAGCGCGCTTTCTTTATGTACAAAAGATTCATTATTGTTTATTACTGAATGTCTTTTTATTGAATTAATGTTTATGTAAAATGAGCAATACAATTAATTAATAATACGAGAATATTAAACACACGAGAAATGACACAGCATTGTTTTTGTTGATTACAAAACCAGTGACTGACTGGTTTTACATATAAAACTGAAGAAAATAAGACCTTGGTTGTAGCTGTAGTAAAATTAATATGGTTGTTTTAAGTAATGTTATTTAATGTTAATAAATGGAACAATAGAAGTAGCTAACGATAATGGTAAAGAAGAAAGAGATCGCATATGTAAGTGCGCATGCGCACACGTGAAAACATATCATCATTACTTTACATAAGAATATGAAAGCAACACTTATTTACTGTTCATATATATTTTAATTAATGTTTCTGAATTTGTTTTTATTGAATTAATGTACGTGTGTGCAAAATTAACAATACAATTTATTAATAATACGTGGAATATTAGAGGAGACGAGACGGCTGCCGGCATTGTTTATGTTAAAGCTTACGAAACCAGTGACTGATTGGTTCTACATATAAAACTGAAGAAAATAAGACCCTGAGTTTAGCTGTAGTAAAATTAATGTAAAAAATTAATATGGTTGCTTGAAGTACCTGTAATGTTATTTAATGTTAATAAATGGAACAATATAAGTAGCTAACCATTAATGGTAAAAAAAAGTGAGACTGCGCGTATGTAAGTGTGCACATGTGAAAACATATCGTCATTACTCTACATAAGAATATGAAAGCAACACTTATTTACTGCTCATATATATTGAAGGGTTAAATGTTGTACTCTGTATAGACAAGCAGAGAGAGAGAGAGCAGCCGAACTGCCGGATGTAAACAAACCTTAATTTCTCGCGGCTTTGTTTTTTTGTTTTTGTTTTTTAAGGGGATTAGCCCACCCGGGCATAGGTCACTGACCCACATTGGGGCCTGAGGGGCAAAAATTTAATACTACTGTAATAATAATTCACTTCAGTTATATATATATATATATAAAAAAAAAAAAAAAAAAAAAAAAAAAAAAAAAAAAAAAAAAAAAAAGCTGCCTATCTACCTATTGGACAAACTAAAATCGTTCCGGACCACGGGAGTTTCCGGACCACAGAATGCCGGACTAGAGGTACAACCTGTATTACCAAAAGAAAAAAAATCACTGAATGAAAAGCATTAACAATAAACAATACAACAGTACAGTTGATGGTATCCATATGTTCCATGGAAGGGTGAGGTGAGCAGATGCCTACAGGGAGGATGACTTTAAAGTCCTTTGGCAGCCTCACCTTGCAGCAATGTGCATTAACTTCATTTGCAAAATTATGGGTAAACCAGTGATCCAAGCCTGTTTACTAGCCTTGTAAAGCATGGGCATAAATTTCATGTCCAGTGCATGAGGCTTGGCACTCTTTCCTAAAACAAGGACTGTACAGTACTATAGTTTACATATATTGTATGTATATTAGCAGCATTTGTTATGTAAGAAAAGTAAGTCTCTGCCTGGACTCTGACACCATATACCACCTTCTCTCCACCAGCAAGTCGGTTACAAAGGAAAACCTCAAAAAAGAAAAGTTCTGTCAGCATCATAAGTTTGTGTACTTTTCATCACATGTCTTTAAATGACAAATACCATGCAAGTGGCAAGAATATGAACTACAGTACTTCTGATTGCTCTTGAAACTCCTGCTCTCTAAATTTCTCAGTATTTTACAGATATTAACAGTACAGTATAGAGCAGGAATCTTCAGTCAATATTCTGCATAATTGAAGATTCCAAATTTCTGAGTTTCAGATTCTGAGGTTATCCTTTATCACAATCCTTCCCCATATAGATACAAGTTCATCTACACATTACCATATTCAATCAAACCCATGGTATTACATTGGACAAGCACATCTGTCTTTCGCACAACACAAATACGTATAATATTTCTGTCGATTCCACACACATTCAGTTTAGCACTGCACAGCACACTCACAAACTCCACTTCTGAGCAACAAAAGCACTGTTTTAATAACCATATGGTGTTCCCTTTCCATAAAACAACCCTACGTCATCCATCTGGTTTACTCTTCTCACTTTATAACACCCAGTGTCACCCACCTGATCATGTTCAACCCCACACACTATTTAACACCATGTTGTATAACCATCAACTTCTAAATACAGTTTTACCAATCTTTCATTCCCGATTACCTCAATGTGTCCAAACCTGATGGCCTCTATATCATATATTCTTTTCACTTCAAAATATTAATTTCAATAAATTATACTCATAAAAAAATATTTATCGTAGTTTATGAAAGCTGTGACAAAAAGAAGGACAGTCGACCCTCGTTAATTCGGACTAATAGGGGGGAAGGGTGTCCGTTTTAGCCGATTGTCTGAATTAACCGATTTAGGGGTTAATATTGCAATATATTTCAAAGTCATTGTTTTTGTCACGATTTTATCCCACTTTCCACTGAAATACGTACGTCATTTCAGCAAAAATATTACATTTCCGTGAATGCATTATATCGAGCACAGTATGAATAGAATACCATTGTAATATAACAGTATTTTAACCAAAAACTATTAAAAAAAAAGAGTAACTTCTCTTGAACATCGGAAGGTAAGGTAAAATCTTTTGTTTTCGTCATGTATTTTATCCTATTTTACATTAAAATACATCACGTTTCAGCAAAACTACTATTTATTTCCGAGAATATATTCATTCAAGCACAGTTAAGGTAAAATATACATGTGATGTAACAGTTTTTTAACTGAAAACGATTCGAAAAACACGTGTACCGTCTAGCTGATACTCAACAGCTGGTGGTGCGTCATGCGTCGTTGTAAACAATAGGAGGTTGAAGTAGATTACCGGGTATTATATTAAGTGTGAAATATCAAAAAGGTTTTTATTACCGGTATTTTTTGTAGATCAATGAGAACTGTGATACCGTATATGATATGATAAGTTAGCCTGTGCTAAGAACTTCAACATAGACTACTGAAAACACGTTGTAAGGTAATTTAGCCTATTGTAAGTTGGTGAGCTTCATTTGCTGAAGGAACTGCACAACTTTTCATTACTAATTGGTACATATTTTACGTTTCCATTGTTTACTGGCAGTAAATGGTAAATATTTTTCATGTCTGAAGCTAAAAGTTGCATCCCCCCCCCCCACACTAGTGGTGGAGATGTTACATTTAACCAAAAAGACGCTGGTGTTTTATCCCAGCAGTGGGTGGACCAGCATTTTAGCTTAAGGTCCGCATAGGTAATATTCCTACAAATCTTAAAAAAAAAAAAAAAGTTTGTTCAGATTTTGTCCGAATTATCCGAAATCCGGATTAAAGGGGTCCGAATTAACGAGGATCGACTGAATACAGTAATCC